TATATGCGAAGTTGATTGGTATAATCTTTCAATCTAGTTGTTTTTATTCATTGTACCTTACGTCGCCCTGGAGGAAAGTTCGAGTCCTGTCAGATAGAAGAAACTTTTCTTTGTGTTCGATGTTTGTATTAATAAATAAGTTAATTTACTAGCAGTAGAGGTCCCTGTAAAAGAGTTCGTCCAGGGCAGTACCTTTCCTATTTCTGCCGTCAAGCAGTAATGTCAACATTGCTGTGTTCCGGTTTTGAAGGGTAAGGGTGCTGGTCAAATTATAGGCACATGGGACTTGTCAACTTATGCATCAGGGTGACGGGCGCAGTGGTAGTGCCCCTCAGACCTTATCTGAGTGGCACTGCAATGATATGGACAGACGTGCAGCTTACCATCAGGGGCACGACTTGCTCGTCACTTGATATTATAAAAAAATATACTGATGGTTACGTTTTTTCAAAACACTAAGTACTGAAGCGCGTGCCTACTGGTATATGGTTGCGCAATTGTTCTAATAAACAAATGAACATGGTCACGACAGGCCGCTGTTTTTGAGTCAAGATCACGTTTTGTTGAAACAAATCGTCGGTACAAGGTTAAACCTAGTTCTAGTTGTGTTTACATTGTCCTAACAATGGCTTTGATTAGGACAAACGCAAACTAAATGTTGCAAACTGTTTTATATTTTTTATTTATTTATGGTATAGTCTAAGTCATGGGTTAGTATATGAGAGCTCTAACCTAATCTAAAATTGCAGAATTATCTAGTCAACCCTTTTCTTTCTGGTCCCGCAATAGACATATCTCTGAATTTAGTTGTACGTTTGTCCGAAGGGATGCTCTTGTTGCCATAACATGGATCCGAATTTTTGTAATGAAATGTGCGTAGCATTCTGAACTTTATGTCATTACGGAAGACTGTGTCAATCAGTGAGTCTACGCGTAACTGGTAGATGTACAATGTACAGTGGGTTTTCATTATTTCCATCTATAAATGGATCTTAATATTAGGAGACAGTTATGAATAGAAGCTTAATTATGTGTAATGAGAAGATAACGTTTTATATATTCATACACACTATTGTGACAAAGAAGAATATTAATTATAAATAAAACTGTTTTTACTTTCTCTATTATCATAGCGATAACTTTATATATGCATTGAGAGTTATGTAGGAATAAAACGTTAGACCCATACTCGTTTTCGTAATTCCTTACATCTGTACAAGAACTAAATTATTCTGAAAATTATAAGAATATGATTTTATGTACTTACTTTGGTAAATAAAACAGGATAGTTATTTTCACGGACACTTAAGAACGGCATAGCCAAAAATAATAATAACATAGTAATAACGAACACACACATAGTTTCGCACTAGGTAAAATCCTGTGTCGCGGGTGTCATGGACACAAACATAGGCAACAACAAATTCACGAGAGAAATAAATGTAGGCCATAGAAATATTTCTTCCCACCCGGGAATCGAACCCAAGATCTCTGCGTGGCAGTCTAGCATGGTAACCATTCGGCCACAAAGGCAGTAGAAAAGAGCGTGATGTGTTCCTCGTGTATATCTTTATTGTGTTGAATATTTTTTTATGCAGGTAATTTTCGACCCTCGGTCGAACAATCAATAAACACTGAGGATACCTCGTAGAGATACGGAACACGTGTCGAGTATATTTTTGGTGGTGGTGTTTGTGATTGTAGTTTGTGTGTGCATCGCATCTATTATGCACAATATGAGTTGCAGCAGAAACGCAGTAATGCTCACATTATTTTACTTGGCGGCAGAAATAGATAAGGTATTTCCAGTATTTCCTTGAGAGAAGATCCGTGCCCAGCAGTGGGAAATGTCAACGGGTAGATGTCTGATATTGATATATATCTGACAATTTTACTCAGACACTATGCTACTAAAAATAGACATCATTTATTGCTAATAATATATAGTCCATTTTCTTAGCGCGCTTACTAGCTATCTATTCTGCTGGTGGTACAAAAGTTTCAGAATAAAAATAAAATAAATGAATGAATGATGATGATGATGATGGTGATGATTTTTCTTGACGAATTTTTTCACAATAATGTACTGATACAGATTTAAAACAATAATTGAAAACAACAAATATAAAGTAAAACTTTTTACCTTTTAAATCTAAGATGTATTAAGCCCAGTCTCTTATTTTACCCTTCTTAGACTATGTTGATTTAAATGCTACAGAAGAGCTGCTAAATAAGCTTGAATGGTTGCAAAATCTATGTATCAGGTTTATCTTTGGCCTTCGTAAATTTGACCGAATCTCACACTATCGCAATCAACTCAAGTGGCTTCCCATTCGTCTCCGCAGGAATTTGCATATTGTCTCTGTTCTCTACAATATTTTTCATAACCCTTCGTCGCCCAAGTATCTGAAAGAGCGTTTCAGCTTTCTCAGGTCTCAGGACAAACCCTGTCGCTCTCTCGTTAGGTCCCAGTTATCTTTTCCTTCCTTCAATTCCGGTTTTTATTCTCACTCCTTCACTGTTCATGCAGTCAGACTTTGGAACGCACTTCCTATTTCTTTTCACGAAAGTGCATCATTAACTATTTTTAAATTGAGAGTTAAAGAGCATTATTTCATATCGTGTTCTTAGGTTTTCGCGATTGTTACACATAGGAAATGAGACTATTTTTCCGGATTTAAATCGCGTATATTTGTTTTTTCAAACAAACCGACGTTTCGGGCCCTTTACAGGTCCCATGGTCACGGTTGACTGTAAAGGGCCCGAAACGTCGGTTTGTTTGAAAAAACAGATATACGCGATTTAAATCCGGAAAAATAGTTTCATTTCCTAAGCATTATTTCATCTCATCACATTATTTTGAATGTACTTATCTAACTATTTATCTAGTTTGTAATAGTTTAATGTTAAATATTGAATAACATAATTTTGTATTTTGTGCACGTAAGCCCGTTATTACAATTATTTTATCCTGTATTTAGGTCTGCAGAAAGAAATTTCTTATAATTAACTTTTGTTTGTGTTTTACTTTTATTAAATGTATTCAGTGTAATAAATATTATTAAAAAAGAGTAGTCACTCATTGTTAACTACTTATTTAGCTAAGTATTCGCTGGTAATTACATAACCATTTAAATTAGTTTTAACATATATATAAAAGTTACCTACTGTACCAAGTTGTGAATGACTTCAATGTGCTAGTTACCTTAGTCATAATATGTGTGTCGTCCTCTTTAAACATACAGTATTATTAGGCGATTGGCTATTACACGTGCAAACTGATAATCGTATATTGGAGTGAGAGTTCACAGCGTTATAGTCTAATTTGTATCTGTTTAAAATATTTTTCGAACTGAATAGTCCTTCTATTTAGAACATAGCGGCTAGTTACAGTTAATCATCGGTTAGTTTAACAGTTTATTTAAAGTTTTAGGAGGTGTTAGGCAGTCTGCAAAGTGCTCTGGTTACAACAACTGATCACGGTTATCATATTGCTGGAATATCATCACATTGAAATGTATATTAACAGCAGTAGAGCTCCTTGTAAAAGAGTTCATTCAGGGAAGTGCCGCCACCTTACCTATTTCTGCCGCCAAGCAGTAATGTCAGCATTACTGCGTTCCAGTTTTGAAGGTTAAGGGTGCTGGTGAAATCACAGGCACATGGGCTCGTTTATGTTTCAGAGTTACGGGCACAGTGGCAGTGCCCCGACAGGCGTATAGCTTACTATTAGGTGCAGGACTTTTCGTCCCGTCCTTTGGTATTATAAAAAAAAAATGTGCAAGGCTCTCATTTCTACAGCATCTAAACATCCTAAGTTAGTAAATCCAGACAAAAAATTAAATTAACAGTTAAAAGTTAGAATTCAGTGGGTGGCTATTGTGATCTTTCGTCCCTAGACACGAAGAACCTTATTATTATAATAATGAAATAATTAACTATGTAATGTGTATGTATTTAGTATTTAGCAAGTGCGTATAGTTCTTTAGTCTCTTATCTGAAAGTGTGACAATAAAACAAATGTTTGCATTGTTTATAATAATTAAGATTTTTCAGGAATTTTTTTATAATGTGAATATAGTAGTATGTTTATCTTGTAATTTATTTTTTGCATGAATATAATTCCTGTTCCGTTTACATTGAGCATGATTGTAGATAAGAGAGCCTAGAAATTAGAGCATCTCCTATTGATACTAGATAACGCTATCTATACACTACTGTAAAGTTATAACTTTCAGTTGCATTCACAAAGGAAAACTAACTAAACCTGTCTCGAACTTTGCTCTCGAAATCACAGTATTTTTTTAATTATCTACGATGTTTGTGCAGTTGTGTTTCAAACTATTCAATTTTGAAGTACAGTAGGTGCAAGTTAACTTTAAAATCGTTGCTTTTGGAATATATTTTATACCTTCGTACAGTACCGTTTTATGTGGTAGTCTTCTAGTGTTTTGTTTTTGGTATAAAGGTACTATTTATTTTTAATATTTTTACAATCACCATGTATTTGGTGATAGATTTTATTATGTTTGAAGTTGTAATATTTCAGGGAATTATTTATGGATAATGTTAGCTACATTTAATTTAGATTAAATTATTGATTGTGCTATAATTCCAGTCATCTTATCTGTTTATACCTACGCTCCGTTTGTTTATTATCTTGTTTTCTTCGATGATAGTTGTGGAACTTTCTTTACAAATATATACCACAATTTGTACTCTGTTGGTCTTCTCCCAGGCGAGGGTTTAGGCTATAGTCCGCCACGTTTGCAATGCGTGTTGGGCACTTCACAAGTTTTCTAAGGGTTGTGAATCTTCTTCAACGTGCTGGTTTCATCAGGATGTTTTTAAATATATAAAAATTATATAATTCGAATTTAGAAACAAATATTCTTCTAAGTATTAATAATAATTATCTATTAAAAACTTGAGTGATTTATATTCGCCGTTCTTTGAGAAATCTGAATTAAGTTATTTAATACATGACTTTTTTGTTTCAGGGTTAAGAGGAAAATAGTAGAGGCAGGTGTGAAACACCATAAAAATACAGCTCAAAGTAGCTACGACCAATGCAGTCGTGGAGGCCGGTAGCCGCGCTGTCTCCACAGAAACCATAAACTGCACCAGGCCACAAAACAACTTTAATGGTCGCTCATCCCTTAGAGAAAATTACCTACACGCTCTGTCACTTCATTGTTATTAAATTCCTCAATATCTTCTTCATCTTATAGTCTATATACTTATATTTTAATAAAAATGAGCAAAATTCTTAAAGTAGTTGGAGCCTCGTGGCTCCAAACTAAAATTAGTTCTTATGTCCTCGGTGTACTCGGGGTTCTTGCTATCTTGGCGCTTTTCATTGGACAACTTGATAGGTGAGTTATTCACTTTATTTTATGCATTAAAAAAAAATAATTGTAACATTTTTATGAAAAGAAACCGATTTCAAAAGTTGTGGAATTACTTCTATTTGCCAAGTTTTATAGAAAGGTAGGTTTAATGGAAAGTGAGTGATATCCAATAAACCGGATTCATCCTTTAATTTGGCACTATTAGAGGTAGAATATTTTCTTCAAATGTAATGTTCGGGGTTTCGGCGAGATGTTCACAACCAACAGACAGC